CGGTAGGGTCGCGCCTCCTCCCCTGCGGCTGCCTCCGTGCTGCCTGCCGGCGTTCCCTCAGCCCTGTCTCCAGCGCTCCCTCCTCTGGCGCCTGTCCCCTTTTCTAACGCCTTCTCTATTTATTACTTTGGAAAATAACATGTTTTTTTAAAATAAAAGCTGTGGTTCTTCCACCCTTCTCCTCGCCTTTTGATGGCGTTGACCCAGCACTGTAAACCGCGGCTCTGTGCGCGAAGTTTGCGCCGTCGCCTTTTTGGCGCTGCTGGGGGGGCAACTGGAGCGGTGCCGGTGTTGCCCCGCCGCTCGGACGTGGAGTGTGGTAGAAGAGCGGCGTCGCTCACTGGCATGTTTGGGGATGGCACAGCAGAGCAGAGACGATGGGGAAAGCAGTGGGAAGGCGGAAAACCGGTGAGAATGGCGCTCGCTCCCGGCACCTGCAAATAGTCCCTAGGCAAGGTGGGAGCGAGGTGGAGGGGGTGAAATTTAGCCACGGGATCTGGCTCAATTTTACCGTGCAGCGAGGGGGAGCTCTGCGCAGTCTGAGGAGCATTGGGATGGAGGATTTATGCTGTGCGGTGTGAAGAAACCCAGGAGCAGACGAGCGTGGTCACGCTCTGTTAACGCTCCAAGAGCTGAGCGCTTGCTTTCTTTTGTGCCGTCCTGCCTGAGAAGTGGAGCCTTGGCAAAGGCACGAGGTGGGGCGAAAGGCAGGTTTCCCCCTTGCTCCACGTGGGGAGCTGCAGAAGGGCTCCTCCACCCAGGAGGAGCGGCGTGCGCCGGAGCAGCTGTGGCGCCCAGTGGCCGCCAGCTCCGGCCCTCCTCATGCCGAGTGCGGGGGAGCTGAACGAGACGGGGCCCTCGGGCTCCGGGGTCCTGCACCGGGCAGTTTTTCCGCCAAATTAAATAACAACGTGTTTACATCGGCCCGGTCCCGCTGGGTTCTCCTCGGAGCGCGGCTCCAAGCCAGCAGGCGTATTTATCCATCTAATTCGTTTGGCCCTCCAGCATGGGGATTGCTCCGGGCCTTTTCTCTCTGCTGTCCCGCTGGCGCCGCAGTGGGAGAAGGGCTGACCTCGGTTGGCGCTAGGAGGTGGCCGCTCTCCGGAGGGTTGGCGGTGCCTCCTGGCTGCGTCCGGATCGCAGCTGCTAGCCGGGGTGCCTCTCCGGGGACTTTCGCCGGAGATTTGCTCTGGCTTCCTCTTCTGCTCGGCACGGTCGAAGATTTGACCTTTGCTTCCTTCCTCCACCCACATGCGCTCCGGCCCCTCTCTCCAGGCGCACGCAGACTCGCACATGGCAGCGCTGAAAGTTTTGCTCTGTTTTTATTTATCTCTAGAAAGTTTGAACCGATGGTTTTTTCAAGTCCCGTTTTCTGTTCCTTTGCCCTCCACCCCGTCCCACCTCATCAAGCAAATGCAGGAAGAGAAAGGAAGAAAAAAAAAAGCATTCAAGAATGCGTTTCTCTACAGTGATGGGTAAAAAATAAACACCAAAATGCTCCTGATGCCTCAGGGTCAGGTTTCAAAATAACTGGCACTGCCTTTGTTTCACCCTCTAGAAATTTGATCGGCGGGTTTCTCCCAGAACTGGCATGTGGGGACGGTCCGTCCCCGCCGCCTTGTCCTGGGAGCGCTTCCACGTTACAGTCGAGGATTTCAGTACCGCAAACCATTGCGCCCTTGTGGTAAGTGACCATGGAAAGTGGGAACGCTCTAGAGGGAAGGTGGGACGGGGTTCGCGGAGCTGCGTCCCTTCACTTCCTTTGTACTTCTGGCTGCGGGCGGGGGG